TGACACACACTCCAGCCAACATCCCAACGGACCTCCAAGACCAGAAAGCCGAGTCCCACCTGCGAGACGGAGCTCCACCCGAAGGCAGAGCACATCAATCGAAAACAAGGAGAGTCGAGAGACTTACCACCATTAGTTAGACCTCCACCAACGACTGAGGACCCCAATGCAGACGAAAAGCCGATCGGGAAGGACGCCACCGCCACTCTGGATCCCATCTGCAATTAGCTAGGTCTCCAACCTCAGCCATTTGTAGGGCGTTGGAGTCGCGCGTCGTCAAGAGGGAGGTGGGGCGGTCAACGACGACTCCTGGCCGACACTACGCCGTCACTAAGGAAGGCCAATCGATCGAATTTTGGAAACGCTCTTCTCGGATTTGGGGGAAGGGTTTTTTTGGGGGAAGTTTTTTTGAAAATGAGTTTCCATTAATGTGGGTTACTATTGAAAAAAAAAAAAATCCTTAACTACTATGCAAATTCTCAATATGACACTTATTAATAAAAGGATGGAGTATTCATTTCACAAATAAGTGTCATTTTAGAGTTTTTAATCAAAAATTTGATTGGACTACAAAATGAATCCATAAAGTAAATCTATATAACTATTTGGTTGTGGACTGTGCATGTATTATGGTGCCTAGTGCAAAAGCCCTGCAAATTTTGTTTCCTTTATGACAACCCTTGTCTCTGACAGCTATGCGAAATTCCATACATATTTATAAGATATATTTCACAAAAGTTGATGATGATAATTTTTTTAAGCTATAAATGTGGTATTATGTTTTCTAAAATCATGGTACATACATGGGTTGTCTCTCTTTCCCAAGGTGCTTCATTTTTGGGCAAAAATGTTTTTAAGGAAAGCTGACCATAGTTGTGTACGATTTGGTAACTCTTGATAATGTATTATTGCTTGCTGGGGAATTCATTGGTTAGAGTGAGTTATTCTAAATAAAGTTGATTCATGAATTTTGAGTTTGTAACTAAATAATCAGTACGACTCCCGTGGTAACTAAATAATCAGTACGACTCCCGTGCGATGCACGGGTGATATAGGATATTATCTCTTAGATCGATCCAGCGGAATCAGAGGAGTTGATCTGGTCGAACGGAGCCCATGTAGACCAGTGATAGATCGTAGTGACAAGAATTGTGGAAGATCAGACCGGTCTCAGCCTTATAGAAGATTTAGTCGACGGACTAGGTGGTCGAACAAACGGTCGTGCAATTGATCACCTCATACACCGGGAGCGACTTGGTAGTTTATCCAGGTGTGGTCGAACATAAAAGTCTTCAAAGGAACATTGAAACCTGAAGGAATATTTTCTCATGTGCCTAGGACACGTGGCAGAACTGGATTAGCCTATGTTAATAATCGCTTCTAAGATATTCCAGACATATTCCTGACGCCTACACTAGGGGTTATACGATCGGGCAGGCCGGACAGCCAGCTCAGCAAGCCCAGACAGCTTCTAGGACAGGTGAGGGTGATCATTTTCGATATAACTTTTTCTGATATACCATTATCACTTTAAAAACTATTCTCAAGGCAGACTTGGGCGTTGGAGGCTCTTCACCGGGAAATCCCTCTGGTGTGAGAGTTTTGTGCAGATTTCGACGTCCGACGACGAGGACAGAAAAGGCGAGGCAGTTCTTAGTCGATCGAGGCGTTAGACTTGTATTATTGGCCCTTTCTGTGGGAACTTCTGTTCGAAATGCTATTTGTGTGAGGTGTAGCTATGGCGAACAGAATTCCTCGTGTTAACTTACAATTGTCTTTCAATGTAGCGTGGACGACAGCCAGACCGTTCGGAACAGACACTCCTCCTGGCTTCTCCGGACCTTTGCAGACGCCGATAACCCCAGCACTTGTTCAACATGCATGATTCAAAGAAAGGGAAATTGCCTTTTCGACGTGGAATTTCTCTATCTAAGAAGATGTCTCCTAAGACACCTCAAGAGATAGAGAACATGAAGGTAGTTCCTTATGCATTGACAGTAAAAACCTCATGTATGCGATGTTGAGCACGAGGTCAGATATTTGTTAAGCCGTGGGCATGGTTACTAGATATCAAAGTAATCTAGGACTGGAACATTGGTCTGCGATAAAACATGTACTCAAGTACCTGAGAATGACTAAGGAGTACAAGTTGATTTACCAGACAGATGAATTGCTTTCGTTAACTTACACTGATTCTGACTTCCAGTCAGACCGAGACGAAAGCAAGTCCACCTCAGGATTTGTGTTTACTTCAAAAGGAGGAGCCATTGTACGGAAGAGTGTCAAGCAAAGATGCGTAGCAGACTCCACCATGAAAGCTGAATATACAACAGCCTCAGAGGCAACAAGAAGCAGTTTTGCTCAGGAATTTTCTCCTCGACCATGATGTGGTACCGAGTTTGCCCACTGCAATTACAATTTTCTTTGATAACAACGGAGTAGTAGCAAATTCGAAGGAGCCACGGACTCATAAAGCGAGTAAACACATATAGCGCAAGTACCACCTGATACGGGAAATCATTCGACGAGGGATAGTCATTGTTGCCAAGATACTATTGGAGGACAACCTACCAGATCATTTTACAAAGAGCCTACAGGCGAAAGTCTTTGAGAGACATGTAGAAGGAATGGGAGTTAGACGTTGTGGTTACATAATATAATAGTCTTCGAGAATTAGATTGAAAGAGAATTGTGGTTAGTGATAGCCATGAGCTTATTAAGCATAAGTGGGAAATATGTTGTAAAAGCTTGGCTTTAAGATATAAACAATTCCATTTTGATCTGACAATCGTGTTTTAGTCAAAGCATTTATATTTGCAGTTTATTTATTTATGCAACTATAACTCTATTATTTTACATTGTAGATGTTATGGTTAGTCGTGTCGAACAGAAAGATCATATTATCGGTTCCTTATAAAATATAAATTAATTGTTCTCAGTTTAGACAGACAGTGAGACCCCTATTAGAAAAGTCTGTAGTAGTCTTGATTCAGTTGATCTTTAACTTATCGATTACACTAGTACTTATGATAAGTATTGAACGAACCGCAGAAGGATGAGATTATAGATTTACTGATCGTGGTTATAATCTAGACCTTCAGTAATTGATGCGTACTCTTAAGCTGTAAGATAATATAAATGGACATATATGTTCATTACTTATTTATTTGATTTACCAAGGGTGATTACTATTCAGTTAGAATGACATACTCGATATTTTGGTAAGTAAGAATGTTTATTTGATGTGCTGTTATAAATTATTTACAGACACTATGTCCTAGTGCACTGGTTGATGAGGTCCCCGAAATGAGCTCATGAAGGAATATTAGGTCAAACCCTGCAGGTGGATAATTATTCGGCATAATGATTAATGAACTGAGTGGTACTAGTTTAGGAAATGAAAGAAGTCAATCTAATTTAATTATCAATAATTAAATTAATTAACGGACTTTATATCTTAAATATATGGAGATAAATCGATCAATTAGATTAATATTTATTAATCATTTGAGGTTCGAATTTATTGAATAAATT